GTAAACATAACATTTCCCAAACGACAAACACTCTTGGTAAAAAACAACATGAAAATAGAAACTTTACATTATGTAATGATTGATTAGATTATTTGAAATAACCTCAGTATTTATTAAATCATAGTCTTCCATGGAGACTATGATGTAAAGTTGAAAGTTGACAGTAATGAAATCATTGACGATTTTTTTGACCTTTTTACCAACGTACAATGAGAGATGAAAAATAAAAAATATAAAAACACCAACTATCTAGGGTTGCCAATATTATATTATCTTTGGAAGGGTTATATCAGTTGTTGGAAGTCCCTTGTAGAGGGCGACTTCGTAGATATGAGTAAAATGAGTAAATTGTGCTAAGATGATTTATGTTTTATAATGGGGATGATTACGGGAAACTCATCCGGCAGAGTGCGCTGAGTGTTTGTCACATTGGTCATTAGCTGTCAAAGTTTCCACCGTTATTTATTTTTAGGTGTTTACCAGGGTTTTGCTCGTTAAATAAAATTGATATTCTATTAGCATTTTGGTCGTTGCCAAAAAATAAAGCAATAACTGAAACCCTTTCAGCAGTAATGTAAGGCATTTATAAACAAATAACAATACACGACCCGTTTAAACAAAACAATCGAACGATATACTAATGAAAACTGGAAGAAGAGGAATGGGTATTGATTTAAAAAAAGGGATTTTATTTTACAAAAAACTGATAGAAGAACTGCTCGAAAAAATTTTTATTTAGGCATACAAGTTACCGAGTGGTCTGTCTGTATTATTAACATGGCAATTTCAACTTCAAATTATCTCGAAAACTAATCGTTACAAAAATAATGTTCTTTTAACAGAGTTGTAAAGGTATTCGAAAAACCTTTAAAACAAGGTGCCATTCGACCTACTTTCCCTTTCTAAATAAGGGTCGTCGGACGCACCCCTCCGGGGGGGGGGGTGTCATCCTTTAATTAGAAATCGACGTGTCCGAGCTTTTTTTAAAAATCTTACTTTTTATATTCAAAAACGGCTCTGTTAAGTTTTCGTTGTTACACACAAAACCACGTTGTTACACTTCGAAACCACTATGTGATTTCTTTTTGTGGGGTTGCAGTCAATTTTGAGGATGCCAGAGAGTAAGAAAAACTAAGGTATTACGTCAAGCTTTCGGAAATGTTTATTTCCGAAACTGCAATTTTTGCAACAATTTGACTCATTTTTTGAGATTCATTGTAGAATTGGAACAATTTTTTTATCGCAAATCTGTATGGGTGACAAGAAAACAGTTTTCACTATATTGATCTACCCAAGATTCTATAAGAGTTGTGTTATTTTCATGAACGCACATCTTCTAGTTCCAATTCTACAAGGAATCTCAAAAAATGAGTCTGATTGATGCAACAATTTTTTTATCGAAATCTGTATAGGTGACAAGAAAACAGTTTCCACTATATCGATCTACCCAAGATTCTATAAGAGTTGTGTGATTTTCATGAACGCGCATCATATGGTTCCAATTCTACAAGGTGTTTTAAAAAGTGAGTCTGATTGTTGCAACAATTTTATTCTCGAAATCTGTGTGGGTGACAAGAAAACGATTTTCACTATATCGATCTACACAAGATTCTATAAGAGTTGTGTAATTTTCATGAACGCACATCGTCTAGTTCCAATTCTACAAGGAATCTCAAAAAATGAGTCTGATTGTTGCAACAATTTTTTTATCGAAATCTGTAGAGGTGACAAGAAAACGGTTTTCAGTATATCGATCTACCCAAGATTCTATAAGAGTTGTGTGATTTTCATGAACGCACATCTTCTGGTTCCAATTCTACAAGGAATCTCAAAAAATGAGTCTGATTGTGGCAACAATTTTTTATCGCAAATCTGTATGGGTGACAAGAAAACAGAGTTTTCACTATATCGATCTACCCAAGATTCTATAAGAGTTGTGTGATTCTCATGAATACAAGGAATCTCAAAAAATGAGTCTGATTGTTTCAACAATTTCTTTTTCGAAATCTGTTTAGATGACAAGAAAACTGTCATCACCAAGTTTAATGTACTCAAGAAACTATGGAAGTTGTGTAATTTTGATGGACGCACATCATCGGATATCATATTTACACGGGATATTGGAAAGTAAGTCTAATATTTCCAATTTTATTTTTCCCTAAATTTGTATTGTTGATGAGAAAACGATTATCTACGCGTCAATCTACTCAAGATTCTATAAAAAAGTTGAACACCAAACAGTCTTAATAATTCCACGTTCAACCTATAGTGAATAGGTATTTCCAGCCACAGATATTAGTACGGGTGCTAATAATTTCGTATCCCAACAATAGATTTTTATTTTCCTCTACGTCAGCATGTGTGGCCAGAAATCTGTGGATAACTTCACGCCAATAAGCTAGATTAGTTGCAAGGGGGTTCCAACAGGAAGGTAGTTTTACAGAAATTTATTCTCCCGTTTTGAAATTACAAACTCTCAGAGTTCTTTCATCAGTCGCTGTTCAAAGGAACTATTTAATTCATCGAATGGATGTTAAAGGTGCTTTCCTTCATGGTAAAATTGATGATATTGTATATTTAAAGCCCCCACCTGGTGTAAATACAAATAAAAATTATGTCTTGAAATAAAAAAAAATAATTACGGTCTTGAAAAATCTTCAATTGGTATAATAAATTTTACGATTTTATGGAAAGCAAAGGGTTTCAAAGAGCAGAAAGTGATTATTGTTTATATTTTAAGGATGGTATTTACATTTTGTTACATGTGGATGATTTATTAATTTTATGTGAGGACAATTCAAGGATAAATAATTTTAAAGAATTACAGAATTTAATGAAAAGCAAAGGGTTTCAAAGAGCAGAAATTGATTATTGTTTATATTTTAAGGATGGTATTTACATTTTGTTATATGTGGATGATTTATTAATTTTAGGTGAGGACAATTCAAGGATAAATAATTTTAAAGAATTACAGAATTTAAAATGAAAGATCTAGGATCTAAAAATTTAAAATATCTGGGTATTAATATTATTCAAGATAATAACTATTTGTATATCAACCAGAAAAAGTATTTAGAATCCATATTGACAAATTTTGGTATGTCTGAAGCAAATGCTAGTGAATCGCCCATGGAAGTTGATGCTAATCTTGATGATTGTACAGTTGATTACTCTTTATAGCATAAATGCAGAGCTTGTATAGGTTCTTTAATGTATACTGTAGTAGGTTCAAGACCTGATTTGTGTGCTGCTGTTTCATATTTAGCAAGATATCAATCTAGACCATCAGAAAGGTTATGGCAATGCTTGAAAAGGATTTTAAGATACGTTAAGGGTACCATTGATTATAGTTTAAAATATAAGAATTGTAACTACGAAACAACTAGTTGGATATGCTGATGCTAGTTTTGCTGTAGATAAAGATAGGAAATCTACAACTGGTTATGTATTTAAAGTATTTGACAACAGTGTTATTTGGCGTTGCAAAAAGCAGAGCACTGTAGCTTTAAGCACTACTGAGGCAGAATAATACTCCCTCAATGAAGCCGCTCTGGAGTCTTGTTGGATTAGGAAATTATTAAATGAGTTAGGCGTTAGTTGTAATACCACTACCATATATGAAGACAATAAAAGTACAATATTTTCTGTATGTAATCGTGATCAAAAAAGAATGAAGCATGTGGATGTAAAATACAACTTTATTAAACATAAAATAGAATGTAAGGATATTTGTGTTATGTATATACATATACCTACAAAGCAACAAATAGCCGATATTTTTACGAAACCATTAAACAAAACCTCTCATAATTATTTTGTACATAAGTTAGGGTTAGAATAGAGTTTAGTTCGCATTGTATATTTTTAGTTTGTTAATTCTGTTAAAACTTATCAATTGTAATGTTAGGTCTGTTAATATAAATCATTGGGGGAGGTGTTAACTAACAATGATTTATTGAATATAATATTGGATTATGATGGCAACACTGCGTACGCCTACCATATCGTTTTTTGAGATAGAAATATAACGCACGTTTTATGTTACAAGACTTGTATCTTCAATCATCCCCATAATCCTTAACATGAACAGTACTCGATAACACCTTCCCTTTTATATTTATATCCTGGACCCGGAAGTCACGCAGGTAGCTATAGCTGCTTCCGTGATGTTAGGATATCCTAGAAATTCTAGGTGTCCTAATTGAAATCACAAATGTGCGGTAGGCTCCTGTTGGTGACTCCGTTCGTTTGTGCTGTTTTCTCCCGTTTTTGGCAACCAAGTGTTGCCCATCTGTGCACTTGGCTACACCGCGCTGATGAGCGCGGTGTAGCCAAGTGACTAATCTGACTAATCTTTTCCTTTTAGGAAAATAAGTATCTCTACAAAACATAATTTTTTTCTGATGGAAGTGACTGCAGTGATTGTGAGAGGAGCATAAACAGATGTGCATTATCAGAACATGTTAATGATAATGACCATAAAATGGATTAGGATATGAAGTACACCAGACGTCAACTTGGTTAGCGAAACTCGCGTCGTGAAGAGTATTTGTATTTCTTGTGATTGGGAAGAGTACTTGTTTTTAATGTATTTGTTTTTGGTTGAAGTGCGTATTGTCATAGGATGAACAACACATGCAGTAGATATATATGATATGTGACCAAAACAATAAATCAATTTATTTAACATGATACATTTTAACAGTGAAAACACGTTTTGACATACGTCAAATGCCAGTTTTGCCAATTATGAAACACCTCAAACATGTCAATATGATTTCTTAAAATATTCTTCTTTTGTATTCATTGAATCAATTCAGTTCTTGTATACACTTACTTCAATAAAAAAACTTTATAATTCGTTCAGAATTATCAATCATCATGCTTTCCCAAGAGTGACCTCAGAAACCTAGTAACCTAACCTCAGATATTATATGTGCAATGAACTGAATTATTCTGCATATGGTTCATTAAATGCATTATAGTAACATTTGTTTAAATTTTTGTCAGTCCTCTCAAATTTTTACATAATTTTCATTTTGTTACAGGGCCGTCATACAAAAACTGGACAGCTGGCCGCTATTAAGGTTATGGATGTTACAGAGGATGAAGAGGAAGAAATTAAATTGGAAATCAATGTTCTCAAGAAGTATTCAAACCATCGAAATATAGCTACATACTATGGCGCTTTCATAAAAAAATCGCCTCCCGGAAAAGATGACCAACTCTGGCTGGTTATGGAATACTGCGGTGCAGGTACTTATAACAATTATCAGAGTCAATAACTCATAGTGAATAGTTCAAAGGTGATGAAAAATAGGTAAATCACTAAATAAAACATTTGAAATTTGAAACATCCACTTCTCAACATTCCTACACAGTAGAATCTGGCAAAGGCCTACCGGAAAATTATTTCTCTTACTAACACCAAGATGGACATTTTTTTTGTACCTTGGGAGCTGTCTGACTTGTCCATTTAGTCCAAGTCTCCAGAAAACACTGCAGCCTCTTGGGCTTATTGCGTTTATTCTCCCATCTTCTCTTTTTGTACGTCCATATATTGCCTGCTTCCTGTGATTCAGTGCCTCACATTCGCATAAGATGTGTAGAGCTGTTTCTTTCCCTTCGTTGCATAATCTGCAGGTGAGGTCTCCGTTGTACAGCCCCATTTTATTCAGGTGTCCGCTAAGCGGACACCTGAATAAAATGGGGCCGATTAGTAACCCTGTAATTATTCTGAGCCGATCCCTACTATATTGAAGTAGTTCTTCGGTTCTTTTCTCGGGTAGTTCCCTAATTAAGGTTCTACTGTGTTTGTTGCACCAGATACTTTTGTCCAGTACTCTGTGTGCTTCTTATTGGTCCATGTCCTAATCTGGTTTCGTACCAATGATTTTGGTACCCCCAGAGCTGGTTCAGGACCTATATATGAAGTTGATGATCCGCATCTAGCCCATTCATCAGCTTTATCATTACCTGTGATTCCTAAATGCCCTGGCACCCAGTACAAAGTTAATTAGTTCCAATTTGCAAGTTCATTCAGTTTTTCATGGCATTCCCAGACCAGTTTTGATGTCACCTTCGGATTTGTCATAGCCCCTAGTGCGCTCTTGCTGTCTGTAAAAATATTGATCCGCTCATTTCTTTGAGGTCTCAATTTAATAAGCCTTGCACACTGCAAGATAGCATACACTTCCGCCTGAAAGACGAATTATATTCCAGCTCCCCTTCCATGTTTGGTCTTCGATCCATCTGTATACCAGGTGTTTTTTCCAAACATGTTTTCAGGATGACTAATAGTCTTCCACTCTTCACGGCTTATGATTTTGGCCGTGAAGTTTGTGTTAAAGGTGTAATTCGTTGTCATGTGGTCCGTGCACATATTCAATATGTGATCCTCCACTTGTTCCAAAATTTCTGTTCGGTCCGATCTTTTGTAGTTCGGTGAGTTTTCCAGTCTGAATTGGCCCATCCTGGCCTCCCCCATTATCACAAAGTCTAAAGGAGGTAGATTCAGGAGTGTCTCCAATGCAGCTGTTGGGGTAGTTCTCATTGCTCCCGTCATTCCCAAACATGCAAGCCTTTGCACCTTGCCTAGATTGTTGATGGCGGTCGCCTGCTTCATCTTTGGCCATCAGACCAGAGATGCGTATGTTATCATGGGTTTAACTACCATCGTGTATAGCCAATATACGATGTCTGGTTTTAGCCCCCATGTTTTTCTATAGGTGCATCTGGCGAGCATCAGTGCTACCTCAGCTTTCCTCTTTATCCTCTCCAAGTATTGGTTCCAGGTCAGTTTGGAATCTAGGATTACTCCCAGATATTTAACCTCCCCCGATACTTGTATTTCTTCACCTCTAAGTTTTAGAGGTCCGAGACCCTCCTAGTCCTGTTGGTGAATGCTACTATGATCGATTCGGATGGGCTTATGTTAAGCCCTTCTTCTTCGGTCCATCTTGTTATAATGTTCAGAGCCTGCTGCATGCATCCCTTCACTACATTATGGTATTTACCCTGGACTAGCATGACTAAGTCGACGGACACTGATTTATTGCAAGTTGTAATGGATCGTATGGTATCTCAGGGTTGTAGTGGATCAAACCTGGCTTTTTGAAGTTAAAAGCAGAAATGTGATAGACTATTTATTCTCAGATGACTTGACAAAACTAAAATATTGCACGTTTAGATTTACACTTGAATTTTATATCCTTACCTACCTAAAATAGTGCAGGCAGCAACCAAATATCAAAAGGATAATATTATGAGTTTTATTCAACCAAAAGCACGAAAACAGTTTCATCAATGTGTCGATCTTTTCTGACTTTTAAATGGCCTTTGCAGTAACCACGATCGAAATAGCCGTTGCCGTTTTTATGTGGAACTAAAAAAACTCGCCTTGAAAAACCTTTCTCGAGCTGCTAATCGTAGCCCTGCCTAGAGCACATAGAAATGTATTGTGGGTTCTATAACGAAGTGGCGCTGTGGAAATCGCGTTTCGCTACAAAGTGCTTCCTGTTCATCCAACAGCAGGACTTCAATGAAATCAATCAGTGGATTACCAGTGCATTACTATGTTGGTTTAATCTGCCGTGCATAAATAATACTGTCGAACAAACGAGAGGCATCTATCTGCAAGAGTTTCATATGTGAGTAAACTTGCACAAATGTCTTTCGGATATAATCAAATGTCCATCTTATTATTTACTAGGAAAGTTGTCGTTTTCCAGCAGGTATTTTCCAGCTCCTATTTTGTAGGAACATTGGGAGAAGATAATGTTTTGAATTTAAATTCAAAACCAAACAAGTAAAACAATAAAACTTATTTATATACATTTGTTCAATGATTGAGACGTGGATAATTATTAATATATTTGCATTTCATTAATTCGGACTTCCATTGTCTAATATATGATATAAATTGATTTGAAATCCTTGAAAGAATCTGTAAAAAATTAAAAAGATCAGCTAAAAATAACAATTATATTAAGCAAAAAAAAAAAGAAATTACAATGAAATAAAATGTAAGCAACAACCAAAAAATTGAAATATTAATACGAGAACGAAGTTGAAAAAATTATGAACAAGATATGAAAATTACAAATTGAAAGATTCCAAGCCAAGTTACTTCATGACGTTTGGCTAAATACCTTGTTAGACAATATATACGCGGCTTCTTTGAATTTTCTCCTAAACCAGTGTTCCTCCTTGTGTTGTTCCTCCTGATGTTGATGAGTCCAGACATGCTCTGCTATTCCTGATTTGCTGGTTTTTCCTCGCTGTGTGTGTTTCTTGTGCTCGATAATGCGAACTTTCAATGGCCTCTTAGTTTCACCGATGTATGATTCTCCGCACTTGCATGGTATCTGGTAAATGCAATTCTTGGAATCGCAGTCTGCGTTTGGTGGCCTGGTTTTCGTGAGGCTGCTACGGATAGTGTTCCCAGATCTGAATCAGGTTTAGATGTTATACTTGGACCCAATTCTTCTTATCCTTTCCGACACTTCTCTGATGTAGGGAAGTACAAGTACTGGTTGTGGCGGCTTCTCTTCCTTGTGAGGCTCATGCTGTCTTCTAGCTGAAGCCTGTTCCACCATCACTTTGGAGTAACCATTTCGTTGAAGGTAATTTTTGATAATGCCTAGTTCCTTTTCGAGACCTTCCTTTGTATTACAGAGCCCGAAAGCACTGTCTGCTAGATCCTTGATGATTTCTCTCTTAGTCGATTGATGGTGGTTGGATTCCTGGTTCAGATACTGTCTCGTGTGAGTGGGTTTTCGGTATACAGACGTTTCCCATTCAGTGTCTGTCCTCTTCACCAATAAGTCTAAGAAAGGCAGAATCCATAACGAATTGCCACGCCTCTCAGTGAATATATTTTTCCCAAATATTATTACTTGATAAATATTGACTGTAGAATTTTTTCAGGATCTGTTACTGATTTGGTGAAATCCACCAAGGGTCAGTCATTGAAAGAAGAGTGGATCGCATATATTTGTAGAGAAATTTTGAGAGGTTTGTCCTATTTGCATTCAAACAAAGTTATACACAGGGATATCAAGGGACAGAATGTACTGTTGACGGATAATGCTGAAGTGAAGTTGGGTAAGTTGAAAATAATTTTCTAATTTCAAATCTGAAGTATCCCAGTTGTCATCTATGGTAAATAATAAAAATTGTTTCCACTTATCATTGAACAAATCACGATAATTGACTGTTTTGTTGCTAGTACTCAGATTACATTTTCAAGAACAACAATATACCTATATAACATTGCAAAATGACTCACTGTTCTGATTATGATGAATCTAATTTAAGAATGAAGTTATATAGGCAATGAAGACACATGTTTTGAATTGTCTATGTAGTAGCCAAATATAACTCGTATTGTTACCCAGTATTTGCTATATGGATAACATTTCATCTCTTGATTTCTTTTTATACTTGAATAAGTAAACGCACAAATATTATTCATAGTCTGTGAATTCGTTGTGTAGAAGTAAGAAACATCCGATATTAGTCTAGACAAGTAACACAAATTATAACTTCAAAATATAAATAATTATATTCTAATAAAAAAAATTGTCAATGAAATACTTTTTTTTTGGGTAATTATTACATACAACAAATTTTCCCCGAGATTAATCAGCTCTTTTTAATTCATGAAAAAAGTTAATTTCATCATATAATAATATATAGATAATTGGTTTGTTATTAATCGAGCTTAAACCTCTAGTACACTGTATTTGCTATAAATAATTTAGTTTGAACTTCTGCCAGAAACAACCAAACTGTTTAATTTGTTACAAATGAATGTCCTGTGTAATCATTGACAGCTGAATAGTTCTTCAAATGTTGGCCAATAAAATCCCAAAACAGTGGCTCCCTGCCAAAATTAAATCCTTTATGATCAGAAGCTACACGAAAATGATTTTTCAAAATTTGTATCTGCT